AATTTGAAGCAAGCTTCTCTGATAAAGGCCTCATTCCTCAAACACAGAGAACTGAGTCAAATTTATAAAACTAAAAGCCATTAACCAAATGATAAATGACCAAAAGATATAAACAGTTTTCAGACGAATTAATCAAAGCTATCTATAGCCATATAAAAAAATGCTCTAACTCGCTACTGATTGGAGAAACACAAATTAAAACAATTCTGAGGTACTACCTCATACTTATTAGATTGGCTAATAGGACAGAAAAGGAAAATGACAAATGTTGGAGGGGATATGGGAAAAACAAGACATTAATGCACTGTCTGTGGAATTGTGAACTGATTCAACCATTCTGGAGAGCAATTTGGAACTATGCCCAAATGGCTATAAAACCATGCATACCTTTTGGTCTAGCAATCCTACTACCAGGTTTGTATCCCAAAAGATAAAAGACCTATATGTACAAAAATATTTATAGCCACTCTTTTCCGGTGGCAAAGAATTGCAAATTGAGGAGATGCCTATCAATTGGGGAATGGCTGAACAAACTGTACTATGTGATTGTGATGGAATACTATTGTGTTATAAGAAATGATGAGCAGGATGCTCTCAGAAAAACCCTGACTTTCCTGAGCTGATGCAAAGTGAAATGTACTGTGTACAAAGTAAAAGCAATATTATAAGATGATCTGCTGTGAATGACTTAGCTATCCTCAGCAAATACAGTGATCCAAGACAACTCTGGAGGACTTATGATGAAAAATGCTTTCCATCCCCAGAGAAAGAACTGATGGTGTCTGAATACAGATTGAAACATACTTTTTTTTACTTTATTTTTCTTGAGGTTTTCTTTGGTCTGTTTTCTTTGACAACATGACTATTATGGAAATGTTTTGCATGATATGTATAACGCCTATTGAATTGTTTGCCTTCTCAATGGTGGGGGATGGGGAGGGAGGGAGAGAATTTGGAACTCAAAGTTTTAAAAATGAATGTTAACATTTTTTCTTACATGTAACTGGGGAAAAATAAAATGCTGAATAAATTTTTTTAAAAAATGAAATGTCCCAAAGCAAATATATTATCTCCTTTTCCTCTTGGCCACCTCCAGAACTCCAGATTGCCTTCTTCAACTTTGGGAATTCAGTGGTACCATCATCATTCTTCTGATCATCCATGCCTGAAATTGTCATGTGACATATACTCCTCTTTCATCCTATGTTAATCATCAGGTCCAACCTCTCTTTTTTTCCTTCAAAATGGTGTTAATATTCATACTTTCTTCTCTATTCCCACTGCTACCATCCTTTTTCAGTGTGTCACCAATTTATGCTTAGGTTACTCTTCTGGTCTCCCTGATTCTCATCTCTCCCAACTTGAATCTACCTTGCACACTTCCTGCCAGAATAAACTTCCTTAATCTTCACTTTCATCATGTTACTCCTCTGCTCAAAGACATACAATGATTCCCTACCCTCTACTGCAATAGCAAAAATCCTGTCTGGTTTTCAAGGGTCTCCATAATCTGATTTCACCTGAACTATATTGAACATTATACTCATACTCTCATCCTACTCTTAGAGGCAGCTAGGTGGCTTATTGCTGCATAGAGCACTGGGCCTGGAATCAGCAAGACCTGAGTTTAAATCTAGCCTCAGACACTTATTAGTTGCGAGACCCTGGGCAAATCACTTAACTCATTTGCCTTACTCCACTGGAGAAGGGAATGGCAAACCACTCCATTATCTTTGCCAAGAAAATCCATGGACTTAACAACAAATTGCTCAGCATACCCTCTTCCTCCACCAGGTTGTCATGCTTCCTTTACTCTGCCTGTCTATCTGTATGCCTATCTTTGAAGAATTTCCTCAAAGTTGGCACTCAGTTTAGACTGACAACCTAGGTACAAATACCAGTTCTACCACGTGTTTCCTGTGGGACTCAGGCAAAGTTGTTAACCTTTTTGGCTAGTTTAATCATCTATAAAATAAAAGTGCTAGACTACAGTGACTTCTGAAGCCTCTAAATCAATGATCCTAAGTTCCACTAAGTCCACGTGGCCTAACTACTCCCAGCGTGTTTTATCCCATCATGAAACTGGTGTACCCTCAGCAACATTGTTTAGCCTCTACTGCTCTAATTGCTCCATGTTTCTGTCTTCCCAGTTACATTCTAACATTATAAAGTGCAGAACATGACTGCGTATTATATTTCCCTTGTATAATGTGTGGGCACATCAAGAGCTGCACATTTATTAAAGTTTATAAATCACTTTCCTCACAACCAGACTGTGAAGCTTAATGAAAGAAAATATATATTAAATATTTGCTGATATGATCAATAGGTAGGGAAGTATGTGTGGGACATTGGTCTTTGCTTAGAATGTAGACATGACTTTGGCAGAAACTACCCCAACGATAATCGTGAAGCTCTAGTCCCCTAACTCTTAACTGTTCAGTTTTGCTTTCCTATGTAAATCGGTCCCATTTCATTTATGTGGCTCCTCTTTAGCTCTCAAAATTTTGCCTTCTTGTCCTTGGGATGGGATGTGTCAAGGTCCATTTTCTAAAAATGGCTTTTAGGAGTCAAAGAAAAGAGAGGATTCAAATGGCAACTCAGAATGAGACAAACAATTTAAAAATTTCATACCATCCCTCACTGACTGTATCTCAGGTCTGAACCACAAGTTATATTCAAGTGGAATAAGCACACATTATCATATTTGTAAGGACTCCTGGGGATCCAATTAGTAGGCATCATGGAAAAACTTAGCCCAAATTAACTATTTTTGGTACCATTGTTTAAACAACTAGAGGAGACTTCTCTAAGCCAGAAAGAGACAGTTAATTCAGCTTATCAAAAGGAATTATGGAGAAAAATTGAGGAGGAAAAGAAATCAAAGCCCACAGAAAGAGAGAATGCAAACTCCCTAGGAGAATAGACTTTAATTTTTTTTTTGTATCTCCAGAACCCTGTACAAAGTAAGTACTTAAAAAAAAGCAGAAGGAAAGAAATAACAAGAAAACAAGTAAGAAGAACTGGCTAATAGAAAAACGCAGAGAAGATGGACAGGAAAACTGTAACAGTGAGATCACCGATAAGCAAAGGGAAGTGAAAGAAAATGTCTAACACCAAGATTCTTATATTTGGATCGTCCATCACCAGTGGAATTTGCCATTGCTTTCTTCCCTGAAAGGCCTTTACCTAACATCTACCTTGATTGAATATAAACTCCTTGAGGGCAAGGACTTTCATTTTGGGTCTTGAAATCCCTAGTACCTACTACAAAACTTCAAACATTAATGGGCTCTTAATAAATTGCTTGGGGATTAATTCTTCAGAGTAGCTTCAAGAGATCATTTCTGGACTGGAAAAAATGCCTACGTGTGTACCACCTCTTCCATGGAAATACTAGAACATCCACCCCACAAATCCTTCACTGTTCCCTACTAAGGCACACTCTCTTCCAGGACACTGATTGTTGAACTTTCTTCACCCAAACTCTCCCTTTTACTTTCATGATTTTAGGAAATTTAAACATTTCATGGCTTATGGTCAGGAATATCTGAATTTTCTTCATGGAAATTGTTTAAAGACCACCAAAATGGCCTGTCATTAAAGGGTAAGACTTATGACATCACCTATTTCACCTCAGTTTCTTCACAAAAGGTTTAATACTATTAAGACTTAAAAGAAGAAGCCAGACATGAAAGAAATTTGACTTTATTACACCAAGTTCATAGAAGGTAAAAACATTCCTTTTAAAGGCTCTGTGATAAGTCCAGTGTGAGCAAGACAGGTATTGGGCTTACCCATGGACTTCCATAATTGTTCTAGCCTCAGTATATGCTAGTAATAGATACATAATAAATCCAATTGGTAGGATTTTTATCAGAACTTCCCCAGTCAGTCCAGAAGGCCAATATAAATAAAGAGCCATCAACTCAAAGCAAGGCAAAAGAAGCAGATCAATACTGGGGTTGAGGAAGGGTATTACTGATAAGCCATGTAGGTTTATGGTTCTTTAAGACATGTTGATCATTCTAATGTACCTTCGGTGGAGGATAGGAGGCTCCATGACTTAATCTGGACAACTTCAGAGGAGTAAGGAAGAGCCAGTCCATGACCTCTGATCCTCATCCCCCATGACCCTCAGGCTATTCCAATCTTCTTGTCTTGGTGAACCTACGCTCATCTTCCTGGACATCTGTCCACCATCTTACCCAGGAAAAGCCAATTAGATTCAAGAATTCTTGAACAGTTTAGAGCTTTTCTCCTGGATGGCTCTTCCTCTACCACTGTTGCAATAGAAAAAAAAAAGCCTAAAAATCCCTGCACGTGAGTAGGTTGATCCAGACTTCCACATTCTTTACTATTTCTTTCACTGACCTGAAACTTCTATGATGCCATTTCCCTTTGGTTTCTGGACTGCCAAGCTCTCTTTTTTGAAGCAATTCCCTTCCAGTGGTCACTTTTATTAGATGAAGTGATGCTGTTATCATTGTCTTGGCTTGTTCATGTTTTTTTTCAAAATAAAATTAGAGCCAGTGCCTTCCAGGAAAGTTTCAGGTTTGTCTCCAGAGCCTCAAGTGGCCCAAATACTCCACCTCTGAAGAAGGATGACAGACACAGAATATAAACTTCTCCCACTTTATCCTATTTGACTAGAGATAACAGGCACAGCAAGGGAGCCAAATCAAAATTTGGATATATATGCCGAGGAGTGTTTACCTTAGGAACTGGGAGGACTTACCACAGAACTCTTCTCTGAGGGGGTCACTACAGAGCGCACCTGCTGTTCTCTCTGTTGCCCCCAGACTCTGGAGAAGATGGAGGAATGTCTTTTCACAGCTTGAGGCTAACTCAAGCTTGTCTGGACAAAATTCTCCCTACCCGCAAAGTCATTCTTTGAAGTAATTTCTTTAAAGTAGAGGTCTGTCTGTTGAGATGGTGAAGACCAACCAAAGAAAAGCTCTTCTGTGAAACTGGCTACATCAAAATTGCAAACCATTTCTAGCCTGTGTGAGTTCTCTGGTGACTCATAAGACGAGAACTTCGAGAAAAACTTTCTCCACATTGAGAACATTTATAAGGCCTCTCTCCAGTATGGGTTCTCAGATGTCGAATCCGATTAGAGCTGTGGGAAAAACTGTCCCCACATTCATGACAGGTATAAGGCTTCTCTCCTGTGTGGATTCTCTGGTGCCTAATAAGATTAGAGCTGTGAGAGAAATTTTCCCCACACAGAGGACATTTATAAGGTTTTTCTCCCGTGTGTATTCTCTGATGTCTGGTGAGATGCATACCCTGCCTAAAGCTTTTCCCACATGTCAAACATTTGAAGAGTTTCTTCTCTCCTCTCTGGGTTCCATGATTTGTGATGAATGCTGTACTGTTACTTACTGTTCCCCCACATTCAGAGAAAGGGTAAAATCTCTCTCTCTCATGGGTTCTCTCATGTATAACAAGATGTGAACTTCGAGAGAAACCTTTCCCACATTCAGAGCATTTATAGGGTCTCTCTCCTGTGTGAATTCTCTGGTGCCTAATGAGGTTAGAACTATGAGAAAAAATTTCTCCACACTCAGGGCACTTGTAGGGTTTCTCACCAGTATGGGTCCTCTGATGCCTGTGAAGGTTTGAGTTGCAAGAGAAGCTTTTCCCACACACATTACACTGATAGGGCTTCTCACCTGTATGAGTACGCTGATGTCTAGTCAGGTGTGTGTTCTGACTGAAGCTTTTTCCACACTCAAGACACTTGTGGGCTTCTTCTCCCAGATGTACTCTATGAGGTGGAATAAAATGTGGATTCCCGCTGAAAATTTCCCCACACTCTAAACCCATACAGAGTCTCTCTGTTGTATGGGTTCTCTGGTGTCTAATAAGATTTGAGTTGTTAGAGAAATTTTTTTCACACACAGGACATTTATATAATTTCTCTCCTGGCTGAGGTTTCTTTGGTCTTATCAATTCATTGCAACCCAATGCCCAAGCTATGGGTTTTCCCAGTCTCTCCTCTGGAGAAGGATTCCATTGTCCTTCTGATTTTCCCTGCTCAGGACTCCAGGGAACTTCTATTTCTGAATGTCCTGAGGGTATTTCTTGAGGTTGCTCTTCATCAAAGTGTTCAGAAGGAGAACTCTCTTCTTTGTTTTCTTTCTTCTCTTCTGCTGGCATAAATGAAAAAACAAACAAACAAAAAAACCCAAAGAGAGTTCATCCCTGGACCACAGGGAAAGAAAGCCAATGAATGGCATCCATCTGAAATATTCTACATAATATATACATCAAGCATTGGATGCCCAGAAGGGGCTAATTCTGCTTCAACTTCCTAAAGAGTTCCCATTAAAAATTCCAGGAAAGAAAGACTCTTGATAGAAATCATTATATGTAAGAACAAATTAAGTGTTAACAAATTAAGATCCATTTAAGGAGAATGGCATTAATCCAATTAATTTGAAAGACATAAATTCTCTGGCTAGGGTTAATCTGTGACCTCTGCCCTTAGATAACAGAGAGTGGACAAAGTATATAGAATCATATTATGTCAGGTAACCACCTGTTTTCAGTAGCAGCAGAATGACCTTACCATCTAAGTGCCCTAGGAATTATGTTCAAGGAAGCTTTCCCAGTTGTGAAGCTTTTCCTTTTTATTCCTCACCTCGGGAGCTCCCTTGCTCCTTGACACTCTGGAGATTGGGATCCCGTGCCTTTTCCTCTTGTTCTACTTGGGTGGCTGGGTCTTGATTGGGAATCTGAGATTCTGTCGAAACAACATGCAAAATCAGTTCTTTCCTCTAACTCCTCAGAATTAGTAACAAGGCAGGCAGGTAGATTATGTAAGATACTGCTGAGAAATTTAGTTCATATATACTAGAACACTGATTGGGATTCCCTATTATATATACTAAAATCTCCTTTTTACTGAATTTCAAGGCTTTCAAAGTACTAAATGTGTGTAAACTAAATGCCAAAGTACAGAGATGTGACAATAAAAACACTTGGGAAAGATGCTGAAAAAGTAGTTGAGACAAAAAAAGGAAGAGTTTTATCCTCCTATGACAGGGTAGTTGACATATTAGAACATTTTCACTTATTGGTAACAGTAGTGTAATGGCCAGTATCTTTAACAGCTACATTAAAATATAAAATAACCTTTACAGGAGTTTAAATTGAAAGTAGAATAAATATGCAAAGGAGACAGTACAGAAAGAAAAACTCACTGTACAAAATGTGAGGCTATTGATTTTGTCCAAGGATGTCCCCCCCCCAAAAATTATCTGGGGCTCACAGCAAAGTAAAAAGGAATGCTGTTTAAAAAACAACACGAAGTTAGCTGCCAACAGATAAAAACTGGATTATAACATGCAGAAATATAGAATGTGGTATTCTATTGTGCTATAAGAAATGATAAGCAGGATGCTTCAGAAAAACCAGGAAAGACTTATATGATCTGATGCAAAGTGAAGTGAGAACATTGTACACAGTAACAGTAATATTGTATGACTTAGCTATTCTCAGCAATACAATGATCCTAGATAATCTTGAAGGACTTATGATGAAAAATGCCATCTATCTCCAGAGAAAGAATTGATGGAGTGTGAATGCAGATGGAAGCATACTTTTTTTTTTACTTTATTTTTATTATGTTTTAGGGGGGAGGAAGGGGTTGTCTGTGTTTTATTTTGTAACATGGCTAATATGGAAATATGTTTTGTACGACCGCCCATATTAATCTATAACAGATTGCTTGCCTTCTCAAGGAGGGGGAAGAGGAGGGAAAGAGGAAGAGAATTTGTAACTCAAAATTTTAAAAAATGAAGTTAAAAATTGTTTTTACATGTAATTGAGAAAAAATAAATTAAAAAACAGATTTCATTTAAAAAAAAAGCAATAAATATGAATCCCTTCAATTTTCATCGATGCCCAGGTCTTTATTTGGAGTGCTCTGTTCAGTGTTGAACTCTACACTGAAATAAAGAAGGCCTAAAGGAAAACAATCAAAAATGCTAGCAACAGGTACTCTAAAGAAATATTCATCTAAAGATGTAGTTCACTTTAAGCAAACCTGACACATTAAAATAAATTAAGGGGTAATACTTCACTTCACTAAAAAAATCACCATAAAATTCTTTTTAAAAGATTCCCCATCGGCACATTCAAGGTATAGATTAGCCACAACTTTTTAGCAACATAATAAAGCATAACACGAGGCACACCTGTATTTAGTCTGGCTGAGAAGACTGGGAAAAGATGCAGAGAAGACATTTTATATTTCTTCAAATTTAGAAGGGATATTAAATAATGTATTCAACAGAATTTCAGCTTCCCTTGTTCCCTATAACCATGCTTACATAGTAAAGGAAAGGTTAGGGGTGAAATTCATAGCATCCCATCAACCTCTGCTGCAACAGTGGCAAGAATATAGCTGGGGACACTGTCCCCCAAGGCCAACTGGGATGTTATAGAAATCGGAATGAACAAAGACACAGCCATAACCTAGTAGCCTAAGTTCTTTCTACTGACACTGCATTCTACTCTACCATCTGCTCAATGACAGTTCTCCCAATCTCCAATTTTATCCCCAGCTCTACAGAAGAACATTGGCTACATGCCTTATCGTCAGGAAGGATTTCCCTAGCAATCAGACATTTTGTAGAAGAATGCAGAAGCAATTTTGAAAAGTAGGTTGGCATAATGAAGAAGAGAACTGGATTTGGAATCAGGAAGAACCTGAGTACAAATTCTGCCTCTGATATTTACTAGCTAGATGTGTGGGCAAGGGCAAGTCACTTAACCTGCCCTGACATATTTCAGCTGAAAAATGAGGACAATAATACGGGTACAGAGCAACGGCTCTGAAATCAGAGGATGTGAGTCAAAATCCTGTCTCTGATACTTACTAGTTGTGTAGTAGACTGAGTTCAATTCTAGCCTCAGACCCTCACTAGCTGTGTGACCCTAGGCAAGTCATGTAACTTCTCTGCCTCAGTTTCTTCATCTGTTAAGACAGGGATAATAAATAGTCAGTTGAATAAGTGTGTGAAGTATCCTAGTATGATTGAGAAGTTGTGTATGTGTATGAAAGGTGGTATTGGTGATTTGTTGGTTAAGGAGTTTAGTTCAATGGCAATTAATAGTCCTGTGATTGTTACGATAAGGGTTGATATTTTTAGGACGGGTGGTATTGTTATGGGGATTACCTCACAGTGTTGTTGGGAAGATCGAATGAAATATTTGTAAAGCACTTTGCAAATCTTAGAGCATTCTATAAATGTTAGCTTATTATTATTATTATTATTGTATTATTGTATTATTATTGCATAATTTATTACTATAATACATATAAATTAATAATTACTAGCTAATTAGTATATTATTTTTTCCTAAGGTCACACAGATAGCATGTAGAAGAGCCAATATTCTAATTTAGGTCCTACTACTAAGGTCAGTGCTCTTTTTACTGCACTAGGCTATAGCTGCCATACAAAACCCAAAGTTACAAGAGTCCATCTGGCCTTGTAATTCCTTTGGATTAGATATATCCTACTCCAGGACTACAAATACGGTTCTTAGGCTCTGGAACTTGTAGCACTGAGGCCCCAAGCCAAAGGGCCTCCACATTAGATTGGTTCCTCCCTCCATCTGACCCCTCTTGTACTATATGGAACTTATAAAAGTGACCTGGCTATTAAGGGACAGGTACTATTGTCAGATATCTGTAGGTTTTATTACTGGATAAGAAATTCTTACCTAACGTAACCACATTCTCATAATTCTCCTGCATGGCTTCCCTGGAAATGGCCTTCTTACTGGGCTCCTGATGCCCCCATTCCTCCTGAGAGAGGTATACTGCCACATCCTCAAAGGTCACAGGCAACTGAAACAGCACAAAGATTCCTTCTCAATATTTACTCAATCTAAGAACACAACTATTAAAATGTAAAAGAAAAACTAGGGACATTGAGGGTAGGATCCATATAGGAATCATACAAAATCTATGATTGTTATGTGGAGAAAACAAATGAAAGAGAGGGATAATTCCCCTAATACAAAATTTCTGCACATGACTTGATACGGAGACTCTGCAATGATAACATTAAGGCAACAGGAATGGGAGTTCAGGAAGAACAACGGGAACTGCCATATCACCTGGGACCCTGCTGTCTCTTTGTCTTCGGTGCCTTCTGCCTTTGAAGGAAGGAGAGAAATCCAGGGAGTAGATGATGCTGAAGGAGACAAATAAAAAGGATCAGAACAGCATTCTTGTTCCTATTTTGATGCTATGCTATTCACTACAAAGAGCTGATTTCTCCCCCACTGCTCAGTTCCAGCTGAGCTGACATTCTAGAAAGAAAAGAAACAAAGGCATATACATAGCAAATTGGTTCCAAATAGTGGTATTAGTTCCAAATTGTGTTCGAATTGGTTCCAAAAAGTGGAGGAATATTTTGAAAATTTCCTATAAGTCCTGTTACTCCCTTTCTCTCTATTTACTCAGCCTACAACTCTCCATGAAACATGGCTTCCCTTTTTACAGAGAAAAAGGGATCCTAGGGCAATTCCATCCCTTCCCAAGCTGCTAGGAACAAAAACCAAAAACTATTGTTTTTGTGGCCACTGAGGTCCTCAAATGAAACCTTCAAACTCCTGCTTGAGATCATACTGACTATAGGAATGTGTTCTTTGCTGCAGCCCGTTTCCCCACTAACCAAAGAGAGACACTACGTATACCTCTCTTAAGGGGAACCATAAGCCCCTTGAGGTTACTTTTTCTAACATCCCTCCCCTCAAGGGAGCTCTCTCCCCAGATGAATCTCTGCTCCTCACCCCTCTCCTTTAGGGGTTGGGGCCCCCCTTTAGGGCAAGGGCCCAGCAGGTCCTGTAGTCCAAGGCAAGGGCTCTGCTCAGTCTCCGATGGCTCCAGCTTGAAGTTCGGTGGTTCCTGTGCTGCTCCCAGGGGTGAGGTCTCCTCCAAAGGCACTGCCTGTCCCCGCCCATGGATTGTAACCTGGGAACCAGCCCAGATCATTCATCACCACAACAGGGCCCAATGGCAGGTGGTATCCCTACTGGATTCTGAGGAAAAATCCTTAATAGTAAACTATAGGGCATACCCCACGAAAAGAAAGGATGATGATTTGAAGGGTTTTTGACTCCCAAGTGTACTGAAAAACCACATAGAAGGTACTGAAAGAAACGCTGAGACTGAAACAGACCTGGCTGTAGTTCAAAGAGGTATTGTGTCACTTTCCTCTACACTGTTCTCATTCAAACCCTCCACAACCACACTGGCTGCTCCCATTCTTTCATCCTCAGTAAGTCAACCTGTGTGGCCTTGAAAGCTAGTGAGCCTGAAGTGCCAAATGTGCTTTTCAAGTTAACAGACCAACTGGAAATCAGTGTTGCAGAAGAGAGGCCAGGGTATTGATGCTTGGCATGGTGGAAAGAGCAATGATCATAAGTCAGAAGAATTAGGTTTGAGTTCCAGCTCCACTACTTACTAGCTGGGTAATCATAGTCAAGTCAGAGTCAGATCTCTCTGAACTTTGGTTTCCTCATCTGTAAAACTGGACTACTTATGCGATCTACACCCCAGGACGTTGTCACTTTAAACTTTCCTAGTCTTGCACAGAGATTTGCTGCCCCAAATACAGCCTGATTCCCAGGAGTCCTCCTGCTCCTGAGGAGCTGAAGCTTCACAGTCCACAGCTGAAGTCATCATTCAGCTCAGGGTCTAGCTTCAATATAGGGAGAGGCCCTACTCAATTCTCTTCAGATGTACTCTTGAACAAGAATATGCAAGAAAAGCCAGCTTCTTCTCAGGAAACTCTAAAGTGCAATGTAAATATATGTGACTCATGAATAGTAAGTCTGTCTGCTGAAAGCTGCCAGGGCCAATGTGCCAAACGCTAACTGCAATTAACAATACTTTAAGGTTTATAACTCGACAACCTTGCAAAGCAGGTAGTAAAAGCATTTCCCCACCTGTACCCCCAACATACTTTACAGATGAAGAATGTTCAGAGATATTCAACAACTTGCCCATGGTCACACAGCTAACAAGTGCCAAAGCTGGGAAATGATTCCAGGTTTCCTGACTCCCAAGTCCAGTACTCATTCTACTATACAATGTTCTCTCTAATATGACTTCCTAGGAAAATTAAACTGCCTTATGGCCTAATCTCTTATACCCTATCAAATGTCATGTAAGAGCTCTCTCACCTGCCGCCTGCATCTTCCCTGTTCTCTTTGCAATTCCTCCACGAGAGTCACTGCCTCTTCCCCACTCTCTGGATGTTGTGCCCGTACCCTGGTCTGGATGTCGCCAGGGAGGATGGTCAGAAACTGCTCCAGCACCAGCAGCTCTAGGATCTGCTCCTTGGAGTGTATCTCTGGCCTCAGCCAACGATGGCAAAGCTCCTGGAGTTGGATGAAAGCCTGCCGAGGTCCACCTGCCTGTTGGTAGCGGAAATGCCTGAAGCACTGATGGGAGGTCTCAGGGCTTGTTCCATGATCCTGTACAGCGATTTCCTGCCCCCAAGTACAGTCTTCCTCCAGCTTGACTATCAGGAGCCCCTCCTGCTCCTGAGGAGCTGAAGCCTGGCAGCCCACAGCTGAAGTCATCATTCAGCTTAGGGCCTAGCCGCAGCCCCTACTCAAAGTTTCCTGCCTGTTCTCTTCAGATCAGCTTCTGGACAGGAATGTTCAAAAAAAGCCTTGCTTCTTCCCCAGCAATCCTAAAGGGAGAGTGAAAACTGTAAGAAAATGACATACAGACACTCCTTTCTTCCTGTCCCAAGCCTCATTCACCAAGTCCCAAATAATAGCTATGGCTGGGTAGACTGTTAGCCCAGGCCCCTTAATAAGCTGCCCTTCTTTCCTGTACGGCGGAGAAGACACCAGCCTTTAACTCAAGTGCTCTGGGTTCTGGGGCCTGGGGTCAGTGCTTACAATCAGTTAAAAAAAAAAAAGATCAAAAGCCTCCCCTGTGGTGCTCCTAGGCTGGGGGAACCCAGTAGAGAAAAAGCTCTTTGTGGTTGAAGTTTAAATGGAATGTTATTGTTATTAATGAGTGCCCTCACAGGGTCTTCCTCTTGCAGCAAATAAGAGATTCTCCTTCATGGCACTGGATGCAGGAGGTGGGGTGAGGGAGCCCTGAGTAAGACGGCTCCAGAGGTACTCCCCAAATCTGTGGTGCCCTCCCCGGCCTCCGCCCACCCCACCCCCATCAGGGGTGTCCACCCCACCCACAGACGTGCTCTCCGGCCTCCCCCTCATCAGGGGTGTCCTTTCCAGCCTCTCACATCAGGGGTGTCCTCTCAGGTCTCCCCCCCCGCCGCAACCAGAGATGTCCTCTCCGGCCTCTCCCCTCCCCCATCAGGGGTGTCCTCTCCGGCTTCCCCCCATCAGTAATGCCCTCCCTGGCCTTCGCCCCCCTCCCCAAGGGTGTCCTCTCAGGTCTTCCCCCCCCCAAACCAGAGATGTCCTCTCTGGCCTCTCCCCTGTCCCACCAGAGATGCCCTCTCCGGCCTCCCCCTCCATCAGCGGTGCCCTCCTCAGCTCCCCCCCAGCTTCATCACCAGGAAACTGCCCCTCCCACCCCAGCTTCCCCTTCCCTCTTCTCCACAACAGCCCTGGGGAAGAGAGCAGGCCGCCCTCCACGGTTCTCCGTCCCGCCTCGCCCCTGCAACTCCAGGACGACGGCCCTAAGAAGAGAAACCGCACCATCTCCGGTCCCTAGGGGTTCACTCACTCGGGTCGGGCCCGGGAAGCCCGTCTGTTCTCCAGACTCCCACTCAGCTCCCTGGCCGGAAATCCTGCCAAGATACTCAGAAGCGCCTCTAATTCGAACAGCGCATGTTCGGGATGAACTTCTAGAACTACATTTCCCGAAGGCGGACTCATGTGAGTCACATGTCTCGTTGTCAGCTGCGGTGGCCAACGGGAGAGGTAGATTTTGCTCGCGGGGAGCGTGTGGGAGATAAGGATTCACGTAGGACCAATCAGAGAAGATGAGGGGGCGGGGAGCGTCAGTGACGAGCACCACGAAGGCGGGGAGTGCAGGGTTCCGGGAGGGAATGGGTAGGGGCAAGAGACGCATAGAGGTGGGAGGCGGTGGAAGTGTCTGGGACGGGGCACGGGGAGCGATTGGAAGCCAGAGACGCAGGGGAGCTGATGAGAAGGGGGAGAAAAGGAGCCCAACCCAACTTGGGCAGAGGCACTCTAGTCTGCACGTGGAATTTTTGTTACCCCATTTGCCTTCTCGCCTTGTGCCTTAAGGGCAGGGCGACTAGTTCCTTTGCCAGGTATTTTCCATAGCCATCAGTGTGCACCAAAGAGTATACTTTGTATTTAAAAAAAAAAAAAAGGCCGTTCGTTACTCGTGGCGTAGGTGCAGCTGGTGCAGAGGTTGATGTTGTGACTTCCCTTATGGGAGCCCAAGGGCAGTGGACCCGTGATTTGACCGGTTTGTTAAAGCACTTCCAATGAGAGGAATCTTTTCACTGAGACACTGAGAGGCTAAGCTCCTTACTGAAGATGCTCTAACAGCTTACATTCTATTAGGAGGGAGATGGTATGATAAATACCAAATAATTTCAGGAATGGAAGAATGCTAATAATTGGGGAGAACCAGGAAAGGCCTCATTGGAGGTGGTATATGAGCAGTTCTTTGAAGGAATCTAAGGAGATGGAGGTGAGGCGTGGGTACATTCCATGCATGTAGGACCTCATGCAAAGACATGGAGACATGATGTTGTACATGAGGGAATGGGTGGCATGCCACTTTGACTAGAACAGGGAATATGTGAAGGTGACTAAAAATGAACAGATAGGAAGGGAGATGGGAGCCAGGTTGTGGAGGGCTTTAAATGTCAAGTTAAGGCTAGATGCAGAAGGCAGTCATTAAAGATTTTTAAGCAGAGCTTGACATGATAGTCAGATTTGTGTTTTAGGGATTTCAATTTGGTAGTTGTGTGGAGGATGAATTGGAGAGGAAAGACACTAGAGGCAGAGACCAATTAAAAGACTACTTGTATGTAATCTAGGCAGGAAGTAATGAGGTCCTGAGCTAGGGTCCTGGCTGTGAATAGAAAGATGAGGAAAGATACAAGAGGTTGTGAAGATATTATTGAAAAGGCATCCAATCACTAAACATTTATTAAGTGTTTACTGTGTGCCAGGTATTGTGCTAAGCACTGGGAATATGAGAAGGGGCAAAAGACAGTACCTACCTTTAAGGAGCTTACAATTTAATATAACTGGATATGGGGGTTGAAGCAGAAGAAAGAGTGTTAGATGATTACAAGGTTAGAAACCTGGATGACTAGAAGCATGGAGGAGGTGTCAGCAGATTTGGCAAAAACGTGGAGTAAGGACAGGTTTTGAGAGAAAAACACCAATCAATTCCCTCTTGGATATATTGTTTAAATTGCCTACTGGACATGCAGGTGAAGATGTTCAGCAGCCTGTTGTTAATACAAGCCTAGATCTAGTTCAGGAGAAGGATCAGGTCTCGATATATAGATTTGGGAGTCATCTGCATGAAGATAATATGAGATAACTAAGAGAGAGGATATAGTAAGCATAGAGAAAAGAACCTTGGGGGACATAACCACTTAGTGAGTGGTAGGAAGATGATTATCCAGCAAAAGAGACTGAGAAGGGACAGGGAGACAAGTAGGAGAACTCAAAAAGACTAGTGCTATGGAAGCTGAAGAGGGAAGTAAAGGAAAGACTCCCTAGAGGGAAGCAGTAGGTAACAATATCAAAAGCTGAGGTCTAAAAGAATGAGGACTAAGAAAAGTCCTCTGGGTTTAGTAATTGAGATATTGGTAACCTTGGAGAAAGCAGGTTCTGGCTGTTGGTGGAGTCCAGAAACTAGATTGCCTGGGATTCAGAAGTCTGAGAATTGAAGAGAAATTTTGAAATGCAAACAAGAGGAATCTTTAGAAAGGTAAATATGTTTCTTCTAATGGGAAGAACTACATAATGATGATTTTTACATTCTACTAGAAAAAAATACTCTCAGAACCTATTGTCTTCAAGGATCATAGACAAAATACTGAAAAGATAATACCTGCTTGAATTTGTACCAGAAATGCAGGGTTGATTTAATATAAGAAAAACAATAGGCATAATTGACCATATTAATAACAAGATTAATAAAAACCATATGACTATATCAGTAGATCCTGAAAAAGCTTTCAACAAAATTTAATACCCATTTCTGATAAATATACTAGAAAGGATAGGAATAAAGGAACCTTTCCTCAATATAGTAAGTCGTGTCTATCTAAAACCACAAAACAAAATGATATATAATGGAGTAAAACTAGAGGTCTTTCCAATAAAATCAGGGGTAAGGCAAAGTTGTCCATTATCACCATTATCATCTAATATATTCCTAAAAATGCAAACTATAGAATAAGGACAAGAAAAAGAAATTGAGGAATGAAGCATTGGAAAAGAGAAAACAAAACTATCATTTTTGCGGATGATATGATCTCTCTAGGGAACCCAAAAGAGTCAACTAAAAATTAAAACAAATTTGACAAAGTTATGGGATCCTATATAAATCATCAGCATTTCTGTATAGTACCAAAAAAACCCCAACAAACAAAAAACAAGTAAGAAGAGACAGAAAGAGAAGTTCTTTCAAAACTACAGACTGTATAAAATATTTGGTAGTCTTTATCTACCAAGACACAGAGGAACTATATGAATTCAACCATAAGAAAATTCTTTACAGAAATTTAGACCTAAATAAATAAATAGTAATACCTCATGGGTAGGCCATGACATTAGTATAATAAAATTACAATAGTGCCTAAATTACTCTATTCTATTTATATTCTATTTATTCCGTGCCATATCAAACTACCTAAAGATTACATTGTATGGGTAGAAAAATAATGAAACTCATACATACCATAAATAGATTTAATAAAAGCATTTATAAGTACTTACTATATTCCAGGCACTGTATTAAGCACTTGGGGTACAAATAAGTGAAAACAAGATGGTCCTTGCTTTCAAGGATCTTACATTCTAATGGGGGAAAACAGCACATAAGGGAGTTGGAAAAGGATGGAGGCATTTATGCTCTCAGTGGCAAAGCCATAGATGTCCTGAGATTGGTAGAAGCCTGGTGCTGAGCAAGATAATACCAAAGGAGGCTTATCAGAGGCCAAAGTGATCCCAGTGGGATGACTACCTATTTGGAATGCAGATCACATGCCTAAAGGGATAAAAAGTCAAGAATCTCAAGGAAAAATTTTAAAAGTGAGAAATTAGGGAGGCTAGTATTACTAGATTTCAAATTATACTACAAAGCAGTGATCATCAAAACTTATTTGGTATTGGTAAAAAAAAAATAGGTCAACCAGCAGAACAGAATAATACATACTACCGAAGCAAACAAATACAGTGGTGGTATGCTGTTTGACGAACCCAAAGACCCCAACTCCTGAGGCATACCTTATGAACAAAAATTGCTGGGAAACCTGGAGAGTTTTCTGGCAGAAATCAGGTATATAGTGGGAGCACCATATAACAAAATTACTTCCAAATGAAATTTGACTTAGATATAAAAGTTCATATAGTAAAAAATTAGAGGAGCAAGGAAGCAAATACCTGGATATGGAAAGGGGAGGAATTCATGATTAAAAAAAAAGTTTGAGGAGATCATAGATAATAAAACAGATTTCATTACTTAAAATTTTTAAACTTTTTGTGC